AGCCTCTTGGATGAGAGGTAAAACATCTTCATGAAACTTAGAGAAGTCCAGTTGCCTTCTTTTCCAGCTTCTGCAGACCATTTGCACTCCCTGTGGCACCAGCACTCACCAACAGCAGCAGCCTCCCCGAGCAGACAATGACCCCTGCAATGTCGCAGAACCTGCTCAGAGCTGCCTCAGAAACACAAAACAAACATGAGCCTATGATGTCGTCTTGACTGAAGTCCCCACATACAACATGAGCAGCATACATAAGCATACACAAGCCTGCTCCACTGAGGCTGCACTGGTCTACACACTGGTGCCACCAGTGATCTTGTGTTCATGCACCGACAGGTCTGTTCTGACAACGTGGTGGAGATCTGCAGATTATTAGGAAGGTGGTTTCAGTGTTGCTGGTGGTGGTGTGGATATCCAATATTTAGAATGTACACCTAGCATCAGAATGGGGAAGAAAGGTGATTTGAGTGATTTGAAACTTGGTGTGGTTGTTGTCTGAGTATTTGAGAAATTGCTGGTGCACTGGTATTTTCCCAACAAATCATCTGAGGTTTATAGCGTGTCACCATCGTGCTGTGTGGCATTCCAGAGGTAGATTTTAGATTTCGGCTCAGAGTTTTCATCACACAAAACAAAGACTCAGCATTTAGGTTACTGCCCAGCTTCACCTCTTCCTCTTTCTGCTTTCCTAATGATGTTACCACGGCAACAAGCTGCCGACATGTCAAACACAATCTGGGTGCTGAGACTTTCTGTCAGTCCCCCTTCTTCTGTTTCTCTGTGTGTATATGTGTGCACTGGTACCTGTCAACTTAATGGCTTATTAGATTTCATCAACACTTTTTTACAGCGTGCTTGTGTTTCAAAGATATAGTCCAAGGCCAGCATGCTATAAACTATATACAAACACTGTTACAGTACCCTCTTTTACAAGCGCACACACACATAGGGAAACTCCTCCACTGACATGTATAAGCATTCCCAACAGCAAATTCACCCGGACACACGTACACTCAAATGCGCAGAACAGACTCCAGCAGCTGGCCTGACCTTGAAGATAAATACACCCTTGAAAAATGCTTCTGCAATTCATGGCTGGCGGTGGTGTGTTATACGAGCAGCGTTTCAAAGGATCCATCTCGGGCTGCGTGAAAATAGATATGGAGTCAATATGTGATGCACTCACACACACACACACACATGCACACACACATCCATCTGTGCACCATCTTTTTCTCTCATGCACGCAAGGTCACTGTATTACACTCAATTTCTTGAACAAATCATCGTTTTTTTCCATTTTCTCTCACTCTCCCGATTGTTCTTTCTTGTAGTTGAGTATTTTGCTGTTTGCACACTGAGTGTAACTGAATCACATGACTGCAACTGCTCCAATCTCTTGTCAATCTGAGCGTGTAGATTTGCCACTAATCTGCTGATTTAGGTGTAGTTACAATTCTTGTGATTCACTGTGCTGGCTTAAAGCAGATGTTGTTTCTTTGTGTGCAGCTGTCCAGCTATAAACAAGTGCTGAGCTTGGATATAACTGTAAAAAAGTAATGAGTATGTGAAAGTCATCAGTTAGTCAATAACTTTCGTGGCATCTTGAGCACTTAGAAAACCATTTTAGACTGGACGGTAAATCAGTTCGTTTTTTGTTTCTATCCAACTCCCACACATTAACAACTGCACTGACATCTAGTGTTTGAAGCTTTAATAACCCCATATTTAATGTTTGAACTGTTCAAAACATTTTATTGCACAGTTATGTCCCTTCATTGGAATGTCAGCGTCACTAGCTGCTGCCTTTATTGACTTATGAATGTCAGTAACGAGAGACACCCGACAGGTGAGCGCTGAATGAAGGCAGGCTAGTGTCAAAGTGTGTGTGCATGAGATAAGATGTGAGAGAAAAACTGACTAAATAGGTGGTGGAGAAAGCTTGAACACGCCTTAAAGAACAATGACTGTTCTGATCTTACCATTATGCTTCTCAGTCAAAAGCCAATAAGAGCCTTTGTAAGAGGCTTTGTACACATGCACTGTGTACACATGCACAGTGTACACATGCAGTCGTTATTACTGTAAATAGCTCATTCTGGTAGGCATTTCTTCTCAGTTAAAACACTTTACTGTACATGTGAAAATCTCTGTTTGACATCCTAATTTATCATCTGATCGCAAAATGCGGTCAGCAAAAATGACCAGTCATGCACGTCACTTAAAGATTTTTTAATTTTTCTTTTTTTTCTGTCTAATTTATGTCAGTTAAATTTAAACCGTGTCTCTCAAAAATCAAAGTTCCCTGTATCAGGGTTTTACACTGTATGAAAGGCCAGATAAATGACACTGTTATTTGAAAGGTGCTGCTCTGAGAAAAGTTGGAGGAATTTGGCATTTTTCAGGTCGTTGTTTTGGTTTTTCTCCTTTTGTTTTGACGCCATAATGCAATGGTTACAACAGTAATTGATGAAACACAGAGACATGCTACTTCAGCTTTCTCCTACAGTCCAACATCCCTGGTTAACCTGTTGGAGTATAAATGAGGTGTGCATGTGAGCATGAATGGTTGCCCGTCTCTCTGTGTTAGCTCGTTGATAGACTGACGACCTGCTCGGGGTTTATCCCACCTCTCGTCCTCTGACAGCAGCCAGCTCTCCTTTCCGGCACCCTGAACTGAAGCGGCAGAAGAAAATGAATAAATGGTTGGATGGATGGAGATTTCTCAGGTTTTTATTTCACGTTTTCAGTCATTACGTAGTTTTATTTTCACTTGCTTTTTTAAACTTTGGATTCACTGGCTAGGTTTAAGAAAAGATTGTGCCTTCTTTCAACACTTTATCTTAAAAAAGTCCTTTACTTGCATTTGTATAATAATAATAATGATGACAAGTTGGAAGTGAGATCATCGCACATCTAAAGATATCTTCTGCATATCTGTGAGACGCCATTATGATGTAGTTCTTTTAGTAGCTAAAGAGCCAGATATTTCTCTCCGAGGTAAAATGAGAATGGATATTCAGCTTTATTGAGTCTGTTCGATTTGAAAATAGCTAATTACCACATTATGACAGCTTTATGGAGTTATAATATGGCAGTGCTGGGTTTACAGATTGTTCTACAGAACCATCAAGCATAAAAATGCCATCTAATACACACTGACACCAGTGGCAGTTGTAATTTCCTCCTTGCGCCTCTGTACTGCAGGTATTATATTATTCTGAGCTAAATGACAAAAGTGAGAGGGGTCCTGCTCGGAGACCATCTGTGTACCCTGTAATCTGCCTTCTGTGTACCTCGGGTATTAAATGTTAACACATGTTTGGCCTTTGCCTCAAAACTTCCTGTTTTTTTTATTTTAAATAACAGAGAAAATAATACGTGTGGTTACAGTTAAACATGCTGGCAGTTCAATGATTATTGATCACTTGTACTTAACTGTGACTCTGGGCTTAAACTGAGATATAGCAGATGCAAAGGTCTGGTGGAGCAGACCTGACAGGGCAGGTAAACTTATGGCATGTTCACTGAGTATCAGAGTACATTCACACGTTTTCAGATGTCTTATTCAGCTTAAGTTATATAGAGATGTGTGCTGTTTATTTCTATTTCAACACTGATTTAAAGAGTGTTGAACTACAGGAATATTTGTAAACAAATCCTTTATCCATTATATTAGGTCAAAAATAAGTTTACTCGATGTTTCGTGGTTAAACACAACTGAAAATTGTATTCAGTGGTCAGCATTTGCAGTTAACTATAGACATACAGGATGGCAGCGGAAATCGGACCTATTTAATTTGCACAGATGCGGTGCAGTGTGTCCAACAAGGCTATCACTACTGAAGAGGCCTCTTACTTGGTCACAGGAATCTTGCTAATCAGCTCAAGTTATTTATTGTAATTTTAACTTCCTGGTGGTGGATGTGGCTGGTTGTACATATACTCTGAGGAAGTGTTTCAAAAATAAACCATGAAAGGGACAAAATCCTGAGAAATGCTTGGGGAGTCCCAGTGCTTCATGTAAACCACACAGTTCTATTTTAAAATCTGCCACCGAAACTGGTTTACAGAAGGGGAGCGGCACCTTAAAACTCAAACACACACACACACAATGAAATTTACTTATAGCTGAAAATATATATACATAACATATGTATAATGTATATTATTCAGTGCATGTTACTGGTGAGAGTCTTTTGAGGGGTGCTCAAGGGCACAAAATTCGTTCAGCTAGTAGCAAGCATATTGCATTTTAGTATGATTTTCTGAGCATTGTAACGTCACAACATCAAGAAAGCTTCAACTGCCTCCAGGATGTTACAGTGCACACACACACATTACATAGCATCAAAAACATAATTTGGGAGCGCCGACGCATTGCCAGCTGCCAGCCAAGGATCTGATGTCCTTTGTCATTTTAGTCGTTGTCCTTAACCTCCACCTTATCCTTGGCGGTTTTGATAGAAAAACCGTTTTCTTGACGTTCGAGCCACGAAGCAAAAGACATTTGCAAACAGCATATTGCACTATATACTGTTTATACCCCCCCCCCCCCCCCAAGGATTGGATCCTAGAATCGCCCCTGGCGCACATTCAGAAACTGTAGAAATTCGAAACCTGCTGATTAATAATTCTGCTTCCAATTTACAACTTATATTGAAAAAGAAAGAAAGTAAAACAGAAACCGAGATCAGCTCTCGCAACGTGCGCGATGCCTTGCCAGTGCAAAGAAGCGTGAAGTGTGTCACACATGCTGGGTTCATGGAGTACTTACTTGTAAAGTGTGTAAACACAGGCACAGTGCGAAAGGCTGTACACCACAGATATCTAAACGCTCACTAAATCACATCTAAGTCCGCATACGGTTATTTTCTGCTTGAGTGTTTGAGTTTTTATCCTTATGCGTTTTTGTTTCCAGTGAAATTTACGCTTTTACCACATGGATTGTCAGCTGATGACGCCTGTGCGTGTTGTCTGTGTGTGTGTGCAGTGAGACTTCCCCACACATCTGTGTGGCCAAACGCGCGCACCCGTCTGCTGATCTTTTTTTTAAGGAACTTTCGCTTCCTGTTGCTTTTCTCCGCACTATTGCGCTTGTCAGTTTGAAAGTCAGTCAGCCTGTGGTGTGTGTGAAAAGTGCTTTGTTCACTAGCAGCTTTAAAGTTTCTTCTGCGTTCATCATCATGTCTCTGCCGCAGCAGTTACGCGACCAAAGGTGAGTCTGTCTACAGGTGACAGGTTAGAGTCGGTGAGCCGATGTTTTGCGCACAGACTGGCTGCGACGTTCATTTCTGATCGCTGGTGAATAATTGTAACATATCTAATTTGATCTAAAAAGACCAAACTGAATCAAGATCAGCATGTTTTATGGTTGTTTTACTCATACAGCACAGCTGTCATCATGTTAAAAACAAAACCTTTTTAATTGTAGATTATGTTTTTCATTGTTTGCTTGTGTGTGTGTGTGTGTGTGTGTGTGTGTGTGTGTGTGTGTGTGTGTGTGTGTGTGTGTGTGTGTGTGTTGTGTGTAAGTTTTTCTTTGTGTCATTTTTGTCTTAAATGATCTGGTCTTGTTGCTTTAGTGACTTTGATCAGCTCCCTCTCAACATCCCAATCAGCGCCACCATTGCTGATATCGAGGAGATTAAAGGCTTCATCGACTACTTTGTAAGCATTAAAAAAACTAAAGGGCTGAGATGTTTTTCACTGAGACTGGCTCAGAATACCAGGCTCAGCTGTTTCTTTTTCTCTTTCATTCATGCCTCCGTTTCTCTCTCAGAGGTTCGTGATTGAGGTGAAGACTAAAGGAGAGAGTAAGTACCTAATCTACAGGAGGTACCGGGAATTTTTCAACCTCCACCAGATCCTCGAGGCCAGGTACTCTTCAGAAAACCTGGCCAAACTGGGCCCAAACACCTGCATCCTGCCTCCTCTTCCAGGTGTGTGTGTGGGTGTGCACTGTTGATCGTCAGTGGCATGCACGGTGCAAGATTTTATGTCGCTCAAATATGCGCTTGTTAGTGTCCGGCTGCTGGCAGATTGGTTGTTATGCCCTCTGAAGCTTATCTAAATCTTTTCAGGCATGCCTTGTACTCGGACTATGTCAACAGTCACAGCTTCTGATTTTCAGTCTTGCTAAATTGCTTTTCTGAATTGCATGGTATGTGCTGTGATTTCCACCATGGCAGAAATGGCCCACATAAGAGCTGGTGGGTTCACTAACTCAAGGCAAACAGACTGAATTTGAATATGTTCCCTAAAAGTCAAACAATAGTTTGGTCTAGTGTGAAATATTGTAATGAGTGTGGGAAAATGGTATCTACTGTAATGGTTAGTTTCACAGTTTAGCTGTGTCAAAGTTACACAAAGGGAACTCCTACTGGATCCTTCCTGTATTGTCGCTCCATAACCTTACATGCTTGCATGCTTATTCTTCTCCATGCATAGGAGAGCAGGTTCACAGAGACACCTGACTGAATTTCCTCTCTGTCTCTGGAAGAACTGAAACCCCTCTGAATACTCTTTACTAAATGCATATGGCTGCTGTGTTTGTTGCTGTGCTTACATTTTGTTGTTTTGATTTTGTTTTTCTCGTGTATTCAGGGGGAGATTGAGACATAATTGGATGCCTTTAGTGAATTAATATTGATATTATAAAGAATAAAAACTGTTGCGTCCCTTAAAGATTTGATTAAGTTTGGTGGGAGCTCACTTCTATTCAAATCCGATTCTATTTAAGCCACAAGAGCTTAGTTATAGCACACTTTAGGCACCCATTGCTGCATAATAATGTGAAGCATGAGTGCTCCAAATGCTGCATTTACAATCCTCTTTCTCCACCGAGACATCCGCAGAAAGAAGATTGAGATCTACTTTTGTTCAGCTGAAGTAAAATGGGTTTAGAATGAAGTTTATATTCTACCAAACCCAGTGAACCTTATTGTGCTTTTTCTTTTATTCGTGCTCGAATCTTTAGACACACTTGAAGCATTTACTGTCATGTTATGTGGCTAAATGTCAAAAATCCAGCATTACAAACCAGCAGGTATCATAGTGCCCCTACAAGGTCAGTTTAAACCAAACCATACATCAGAGGACAGTAATTCCTTTAATCCACAACGATTGACATTCAGATTAGTCAGGAAAGAGCATATGGAAAGAAGGGCAGATGAATGCCACGGGCAAAATACAGAGACTAACTTGAGGAGAGAAGGGAAAGAAGAGCAAAATTGAAGGGGAAGATTTTGAGAGGCAGTAGGAAGAGGGTGATTTATTCATTCATCCATTTCCAGGGGCTTCAGGTATGTAGCAGCCGACGGAGCAGAGAAACCGCAAGCACCCTTTTTGTAGTAATCAGTGACTTGTATGCTGAAGCACCAGCTGGGGGATACAATTGCTCCATCGTGACCACTTTTGTCCCTGGATTATCTGTGTAAATCGTGCCGGGAACAAATCTAAACTCAGCAGAGCAGGACATCGACTCACTTTAGCATGCTAGTTAGCTGCAGGTTGATACTGAGGTTTTTCTTACTGATGGACTATACTGACTTGACTGATTTCATCATGATTTGGTGACTTTAAAACAGCCATTTTAAACAAGCATTGCATCCCTACCATTACTGAAATTAAAAGTACAGCCAAACATTCTAGCTTGTGCTTAAAACTTGTGCTTGTGCTTAAACTATACATGCTAGTTTGTACTCAAGGTTAATGGGCTCTTTGCTATGATGGCTAAGATGGTGCATTTCTTATGTTATCACTGAAGTTCTTGAAAACTCCTATCATGGCTTCACTTAACTGGAGTATTATCACTGTTACTTCACTTCTTAAATGCTGTCAAAATGAAAACTACTATCTTAAAGAGACCTTATAAAGACTAAAACTGTAAAAGTATTTTGAAACATCCATACCTTATGCCTAGAGTTTTATATTGAGTTGCTTCTTGCTGGGTACTTAAGTGTCTGTGAACAGAATTTTACTTTTGAAGGGAGGCTGAATCATATAAGTAGAAATAAGAAAGAAGTTCAACCAACACAGTGCATCTAGACAGTTAACAATCTGGAAGAAAAGTCACTTTCCACTGCACATGAGCTGCTGTCGAAGAAGATTAAGCTCTGGATGAAATGCCTGTACTGGCCACAATGAAACAAAAAATTTAAATTAGGAAAAGTTGGTAAGTGTGATAATGAGTCAACTACTGAAGTGCTTTTTAGAGCTCAGTGACAGGCAGAGAAGACGGAGGTATGTGAATCTGTTTCTAACCCACCTAGTTTTTAATATACAGTAGTTAATGAAGGTTTTAATTTGATCAATTTTGACAGCATTGATGAAAAGACAGGGTTATACTAGCAGGGCACTCAGATCTCTACTAAAACCCAACAGTTTGATAGTCATTTGTTAAAAAATAATGTAAAAGTTTGGTTAATTAAATTCCTACTCTAGCGTTCACCTGCCCATATTCATATAATTCTGTAAATACATCATCTAGTGGTCCGAACACAAGAATTAATGAGCAGTAAGCTAACAAGCTTCAGAGTTCCCACTGTGGTGTAATTTTTTCTTTACATGAGAGCACACCCATTGCCTCCAACTCATGTAGCTGCTGCTGCTGGCAGGCGCTGGAGCCGGCTGTAGCTGTGGCTGGAATCCAGGGCCTCAAGCCTTTATCACAAGCACTGTTTGATCATTCTAACACCAAGTAAGCCTGCCATTTTTGGATGATATCTGTTAGCTGCCAAGTTTACATTTGACTCTTTGGTCCAAAATGCAGCAACACAGATTCTTTAGCATAGTGTCAGTTGCACTGCTGCCAGCTCCAAGTTAACATTTAGTCAACAAAAAACATTTAGTTAGACCTAGCTAACCTCGTTACAGTAGTCCCAAAAGGTTGATCTGTTTATCTGGATGTAGGGTTTTCAGTGGGAGGAGTGTTTCATCACTCATCCTAGTGACTTCCTCCGTATCAGCTGACTGCAGGTTTCCCCAACCAATGACTGGAACTAGCCCACTGAATGAACATTGGGCTGTGAGATCAGTTCCTTGATCTCACAGCCCAATGTTCATTGAGAGACGTTTCGTCACGTTTCGTCACTCATCCTTCGTGACTGAAGAAGTCACTTGGATGAGCGACGAAACGTTTCTCCCACTTTTGGGATTTACTTACTTAGATGATTGAGCATGCATCAAGGCCCGTTACAGGAGATCTGGTGATTCTTTGCTAATGTTAAAACACCCATTTTGAACAAGTAGTCTTCCAAAATTGCCAATATTAATGGATTAGTCCAGAAAGGTTATAAATGTTGCGCTTTACGGAGAATTTGATCAGATGAAAGCATACCGACCAATCAAAAGACTAGCTGGCATGGGCACTGCAGCCCAGCAGATGTAATTTCAAATTGTCTCCGAGATCTTTAGGAGCTGGGAGCCCATCTTGTTCAATCTGGTGTGACTGTGTCATAAAGAAATATCCACAATCCAGCCCTTTATCAGGATCTACACCAAAATTAGAATTAATAGGTTCTTCTTTCCAATCCCACCTAACAAATTTCATTGAAAAGCTGGCTCGGTAGTTTTTCTGTAGTCCTGCTAAGAGACAGACAAACATGCCAAAGCAATGACACTCTGCACTGCTATTCACCTTGATGATGGATGTAAGATAAAATAATCAAAAGCACAGAGACTTGAGATAAAATATTGTAATGTGAAAGCCAAAGTATATTCAGGCCTCAGTCACTGTTTGTGCTGATGTGTGGCTGTGTCTGTCCTCATCTGCTCTGTGGCTTTGGCTTTATTCAGCTCATTGTTTCCCCATAAGTCTGTCTGTCTGGGAGGCGGCGTCAGTGTCTGTATTGATTATCAGTGGCTGGAAACCAACATGTGCACCAATAAAAGCCTGACGGCTTTGAATGGGTGGCTCGGAGCATTGATTTAAGAAGGATGAGGACAGACAGAGGTGATTGTTTTGTGTGTAGATTACAAATAGATTGCAGATTTATTTCTGTGGATTCACAGGCTTTAGCTTGGTTATTAACTTGTCATTGTCATTATTAAACATTATATTTACTTGGCAAAATGGCTCTGTCTCATCATTAGAACTACTAGTCACATTATAGTTGCAGTTTTCATTTGATTCAATTTAAAATACAAAACTAAAGTAAAAATGCATTTAAACTAGCCTATAAAAGTGAGCCATTGAGGACTTGCACAAAAACTAAAAAGTCTGCATGTAGGGAAACACAAGTTGAGATGGGTACTGGACAGCTGGTTATTGGCACTTAAAAAAAACAACAACCCAAACTTAATACCGTACATGGTGGTGGGATGTTGTTGGTATTGAAGTGGGACACTACAGTAAATTAAAGTCAGGGGAAAAAGTTGATCAAATACACTTTGGTGACCATTTGCCTCAGGTTGAGACATAGTGGGGGTGTCCAAATTCATGGGCTGCATCCTCCTGAGGCCGCATTTGCAGGCTGATTATGTCACAGCGACGTGACGAAGGCTGTCCAAATTCGTAGACTCCTCCGAATTCAGCCGACAAATGCATCCTCCTTTTCCCCAAATTTGAAGGATGGGTCAGGTGTATCCTTCGTGGCCCACCATATCCCAGAATTCATAGCGCAGCCCAGCCAATTTCGGTTTTCAACAATGGCGGCCGCTACTAAGTTTTAATATTACTCTTATTACTCTTTCTGGGTCCCAAAATACACTTTTAACATAAAAACATGTGTAAACTTCAAATATTTGCTCAGTTTATCAAGATATCACATATTTGCAAAAGTGCTCCGACGTTTTCGGAGACGTCTGTTACCCACCAGCTCGATAGCTAGCCGGGAAACTCCCGGCAAATCATTGTCAGATCACTGCGGTCGTTTGCTACTCAGGTTAAACGTGATATATAAGTCATTTAGATAACCTAAAAATGTTATTGTTTGGCTGTTTTTCAGTGTTTTGTTTGTTTGTGAATAAATCAGTTTGGCAGAGATTAAAGTTATTTGATAAAATAAAACTTCCCTCGGGTGGGTTCCTCCTTGGTTTTCATTGAGCTGAATAAACATCAAACAGAAAACTGATTAAACAGAAGTGTGAGATGGTCGAGAATTTACGTCTGTGTCCTGTTATATTTTAGATAGCAAGGAGCAGACGGCTGAGTTTATTAAACTCCACCAAGACAGCGGTGACGCAAATCTGAAGGCTAGACCGTCCAATTTCACAGCTGTTTACTTCCAGCCTACCCGACCTTCTGAGGACCCGGCCCATGTAGACCGCGAAGGACGGGTCCTCAGGAGGATGCAGCCTATGAATTAGGACACCACTACTGTCACTTCAGCTCTTCTTTGATTCTGTGTTTAGCTATGTACAAAGTGCTAATGTTGCCATGCTAGCATGCTAACATACTCATAGTTGCAATGCTAAAATGCTCATGTTCAGAGGGTGCAGTGTTTTCCATCATTATCATTTTAGCTATTTTTGTGTTATTTTGCTAGCTTTGCTGATTACTACAAAACTGAAAGCATATTTCATGTTGATGGGCATGCCATTAATGTTTCTAAAATGTCCCCATAAACTACTGAAGTATCACTGAAACTGCATCATATCCTTTATAGGCCAGATTCACCACTCAAATGCCCCAGACAATTATTTAACAGGACAAAAAAAGAGGGCTGAAGGAGCCATAACTACACTTACAGTATTTACTGGAACATAAAAAAAAACTGCCTATGTAGAGCCTACGGTCAAATCTAAATAAATCACGTAAAAGTTTACTGAGCTTGACCCCTCATGATGTGAGGAAAAAAATATTTTTTTTCCTCCAACACAAGCCATCTTTAAAAGGGGTATAAGCTGTGTCTACTGCAGTATTTTAGCTGGTTTGTAAAATTATTATTATTTAAATTATTATTTAAAAATATTTTTAAAGTGTAACTTTACTGGCTTTTAAATATTAGGGGGAAAAAAGCCTTCATTAGCTACACATTAGGAACCAGTGGAAACTTTTACTGATCTTGTGTATTTTAGAGGTGCTGTCTTATAACTAGAGCCAAATCCTATGCAATCCATTAAAACCAGGCTCTTACTCTCTGATTTCTTAATTCTCCTGTGTGTCCTGCTTAAAGGGTTTCTTTCTTGTTCTTTCTTTCTTAACCTTTTCGGGCATCGTTCAGAATGCTTTTCTGTTCCCTCAGCTAATGTCAAGGTCATTATGAATCATTATAAATCACTATGATCAACCTACCAAATTACAGCTGCTTAAGTCATATGTTTGATTTCTTATTAAAAAGCAAGAAGGCTTTTACTAAAAAACACTCTATAGTAAAGATTTTACTATTTTACAATTTGTTGTAACATGTACGGCCATATCTTGCAATGCCAGCTGCTATATTGGGAAAGTTCTACTTTTCTACAAACTCTGATTTAACGTCTGCCACTGAGGAGTCTGTTGGATAATATTAGATCTGATGGGTTTAATTGCAGTGCCAGATCTCATCAGGATGGGAAGGGAATAAGAAAGACAGGGGAGAGAGTGAAGGGAGACAGGCGAGGATGGGTGATGATTTTGAGGGCAGAAAAAAAAAAAAAGACAGCAGAAAAGGATCGAGGTCTGTCTTTTCAAATGAAGCTATTTTCATTAAGGAGACGTAAATAATGTTTCAGTATCATGTGTGCGTTTCTTTGTTTCTTTCTTGTGAGCTTGGTGCTATGTTATGCTTTTCTATCTTAAATGTTGATTTCTGAGTCATACGTGACAGCTATAAATTCAAGGTCAAAGGAGCATTTAGGTGAGTGGATGGGTGACTGCAGTGAGTGAGTAAATGAATGAACTTGTGTCTGCGAGTGATTGAGTGAGTTATCGTGCTCCACAGTGAATGAGACAAGGGAAATTGAGTGAAGAGAGAAGGCTGAGGGTCATTAAGACTGTGCTAAATTTGATTTAACAGCAGGGTTAGATGGCCTTGGATGAATTGGTGGGGCCCGATTTAGACTGTTAGGAGTCTGTGCTGTGCCTCATAATTTTTTTGACTGGACGTAATGTGATATTAGGAAGAGTAATATGCTATTTTCACAATCTTTTGAAGTAAGGAGTATTTGCCTTGTTTAGGACAGGATAAATGTGTTAGCTGTCTAACACATTGACATATGAGTTGGGCTACACCCTTAATCGTTGAATTAAGGTATTTTCAGTCCCACAGATAAAATAAGTATAAAATCAAGCGCCTAGCGATGCAGTCTGCCTGCATGAACATTTGCCCAGCTGTACGTAGTGTTATTGCTAAATGAATGATTTTGGGAATCACGGCAACTCGGCAATGAAGCGGCAGGTCACCTAAAGTTACAGAGCGAGTTTTACTAGCAATTTGCTAACACGCTACTTTAAAACTGTGTTTAGCATCAAAAAAGTGCTGCTGGTTTTTACAGAGTGACAAGATTATATGTAATAGGTGGGAACAGAGCGCAACTGACCCTGTTACATTTGTATTTCTGGGAGTTCCTTTCTTAAAGTGCGGAATGTAATTAGGAGAATATTTAAATCATATACGCAAAAGGATTCACTAACATCCGCAACGCGCAGTTTGCTGCTAATTGCAATGGTATTTAAAGCCAATAAAAGCATGCCTGATAATGAAATGAACTGACTGTTCCTGTGTTTAAGAAACAGTGCATCTTTTGTAGAACTAACCACATTGCTGAGCGCTATTTGGTACTACTTTGCTCTGTTTTGTAAATCTGGCCTATGGTGTGTAAAAGTCACCGACGCTCTGCTGACACAAAAACTACAGATTTCCAAACCTCCTCTGGCTGCATGAATTGCCATGAAACTTAAGGGCATTTTCTCCCAAATACATTAGCTTAACTTAACTTGAAGTTGTGTTTGTGATTGCAAAAATGTACCATTGCTAGCATGCTAACATGCTAAACCAAGTTGTGTAACATAAAAAACCCCTGAACTTAAAACTTATACTTGCGACACACGTGCATCTAAACACTTTCAGTCTTTGTGAGTTCGAGCAAGTAAGGAGCTAATGTTACCACATAATCTTCATATATGTACCTTATCACCTTGTCAGTCGGTTGGCCTATCTGAATGAAACTTTGCACAAACATTGTCACACAATCAGCATTTATAAACCGTATATGTTTATAAAAATGACTTATTTTGAATCCTAATCCTTTTTTGTGTTTTTTTGAGTGTTTACACTCACTGCTAAGGACATAAGCAGAAAGGCACAACAATATATGCTAGTAAATATAAATTACCTAGATTATACTTACCTGGGTTTTATATAGTACCTGCACGCATTTCCCTGGTTTTTGGTGTTAAAAACTGAACGCAATCATCAAGCTAAAATTAATAATTGACATTTACAGGCTCTTGGTGTTTAAGTGTACTAGAGCATCAACAGTATCGGAGCATGTTTACATGCTTGCTTTGTTTACAAAAACAGCTGTATTGTAAACATACGTATGCATGTCCTCTATGTGAATGCATTTTTATGGCCCCTGTTCTAGAGTGTAATCTCACGTGTGCAATCACTTTTTTAATGTGTTTTCTTTAGGAAAAATCTTCCTCGGAAACAAAAAGGAGATTGCAGAGAGCAGAATCCCTGAACTCAACACGTACATGAAGGTAATCACATTTCATTTTTATGCACGATGCGGTGTCTTTTTAAAAATTTCCAACAGAGGAAAGAATTGTTGGCATGTTTGCTATCTTCTGCAGCGTGCAGTGCGGTAGCCTACAACGCAGTGGGCTGAACGATGCTGTAGGTGGATAAGCACTGACTCGGATATTTCAGCTGTAGTTTGCAGATCGAGCTCAACATGTAGGCGTTGCTGCTCTCTTCTCTTTGCTCTGCCCTGTGCCCACATCACGTCTGACTGACTGTAGTTGTGGGACTTTTGACATGTTTCAGTGTTGCACCATCGCTAAAAACACGATCAGGTTCTCTTTCTCCTACTCACTCACTTCTCTTTTCTGCTCTACTCTCTTTTTTCCCGCAACCTACGTCGCTCCCTCTTTGCCACACTCTCTCGCCTTCACTCGCCTTACACTTCTCGCTTCATCTCCACTCCTTCTCTCCCAGCACCCTGCATCTCCTTCTCCTCTTCCATCAAACTCCCACTCTCTTTACACCCCTTTTGTCTCTGTTGACGTCTCAATTCATCCACCCTGATTTCCCTCTTTTTACAGCAGTCCTCATCTCCATCTTTCTTGCATGTCCTTATCGTTCATCCATTTTTTTTTTTTACTTCACTCTTCCCTCATTCCATGTCTCTCTCTCTCTCTTATATCAAGAGGTTGCTGGGTTTGCCAACATGGGTGTTGCTAGACGAGGCTCTCAGGATGTTTTTCTACCAGACGGAACAGGACTCTGAGCATCAGCCGCGAGCCCTGAGGCGTCTCCGCCCGAATACCCGCAAAGTGTAAGTCCCACAGTTCCCCATGGTAACAAGCCAAAACACAGATTGACTCCTTTAACACCAAGTCAGACGTCACTATAAAGAAATTAGTTTTATATCAAAGGAGACACCAGTTACAAACGTTTTTACTAGTATTTTGCTAGGTAAATGGGAAAGAAGTTCAGCGACTTAAACACACAAAGTCAGTACTTTGTTTGACCAACTTTACTCTTCAACACAGCCTGAGCTCTCTTAGGTAGCTTTTCTTGTCATTTCTTTAAGCAATCTTCAGGAATAGTTCTCTGGGCTTCTTAAAGAACATTCAAAGCTCTCCTTTGGATTTTGGCTGCCTTTTTCTTTTTCTTTCTTTTGTGTTTCTTGTGCTTTTTTTCCCCGTGTTTCTGATCCCACACTGCTTCAGTAATGTTGAGGTCCTGGCTCTGGGGAGGCCAGCATATGACTGATGGTGTTCCAGTGTGAGTTTTCCAGGTATGCTTTTACTGCACAGGCATTGTGTTTGGGATAACGCTAAGAAATGAAGCTGCTGCCAATCAAATGCTTTCCCGATGGTATTGCATGGTGGATCAAGCTTTTCTGCATTCATAAATCTATTAGTTTTGATGGGATCCCCAACACTACTTCGTGAAATGCAGCCCCAAACCATGAGAGAGCCTTCATCCTGTTTTAGAGATGGCTGTTTGACACTCACTGTTATACCCCTGTCTGGACCTTTTACATTCATATTGACAGCAATTTGAACAACAATTTTCAAATCTGGATTCATGACTCCATCGATTTTCAATCCACTTCTTGTGTAATTTGGAATACTTTGGTCTTTCCTTCCCATTTCCCTTTCTTAGAAATGAATTCTTGACGGCCTCTTGTCCACTGAGACCATTTCTGATGAGGCTTTGGGGAACAGCAACTGATCAACTGGGTGATCAAGATGGGTCATTGCTTGATTTGACTTTCAGATAAATGGTCCGGTACGTGGACTTGATTGACTAAAAAAATAATAATTTCGAAGAACTTTAAGGCCTTGCTGTCTCACTCAAGCCTTCTCCTGTCAAAATATAATGAAATGTGGGGCAGCCTGAGACTTTTGAACATTTCTCTAAGTACAAAGTATTTAACTGTGCAAAAGGTGTAGCCAGAGTGTATCACGTTTAAAGTTGATGCATCTGCAAATAATGACAAAGGAGGGTAATTGCTGGCTTTGAATGGCTTGCTTTCAAGGCATAAATACCTCTGAAAAAACTGGAAGGTTAAAATGTGGCTTTAATCTGTGAAATTTCAGAAGCATTTTGACTCTTCGAAAAGAAAAATGCCTCATTTAGCTTTGAAAAAAAATCTTTTTAGATGAATATAATTAAGATCAATCTAGTGCAATTTGCTCTCTTAAGGAACATGTTTCCTCATCTCAAATAACTGTGCTTTGAAATTAAAATAATTACAGCAGACTGGATGCAGGTCTTGTATGAATTATATGAGCAGGCAAGATGAAGCTCCAGCAACATCATTTACCTCTCTGAAGATGGAGAGAGAAGAGAATACATTTCCCCCAAAAGCGTAAACCCAGGAGTGCAGATTTCCATAAATATTTAAACTGGTTTTTCTTGCTTGAAGCTATTAGCACTTCAGTGTCAATTCCCCCCAGATGAGATGCACAGGTTCAGGCAAACCTAGGTTCATTTTATGATGCAGCTAATCTCATAAACTTGTGTTCTACTTTATGAGTAACTCCTGCAATCTTTGAATGTCTCATGGTCCTTAGACTTGACTTATGTAACTCCTCGTGGAGGATGAAAGGGAAAACATTTTCAAGAATGTTCATCACAAAACTTTTTTAATTCGATAGCTGCTGTTAACTTTGAGTACTCAGTCAATACTGAAGGTCATTTAGACTGCAAATTTAATTGCACAGAAATGAAAGCAGAGAGAGATGAAACTTTGTACTTCAATTTAAGTCTTGCAGTTTGGCTTTTGGTGATGTACACAAGGAGATACCAATGCCGGCAGTGAATCAGTGCTAAAAACATGTGATGCTGCTCTTCACCTGAAACTTGGCTTAAGCGCTCCACTTTTAATTTAAAGGTATAAACATTTTGTGCATCTATGAATTCAGGGTCAGTTGACCACATATACCCACAACATGTGTTTTGCTTATATAAGCTTTTACTTCCTCCATAACAATACATTAATAGGCGTTTAGCCCACACACAAATTCAAAATGAATTCACTGAGGGTTGAATAACAGCTTAGATCTCACTGAGCATACGGAGAAAAACTGAAATGCTGCTGCATTCAACACCCAGTTGTCTTGGTTATCATAAATCACATGGAAACTCTTCAAGCTTCCACATGAGGCTTAGTCTTGGGTTGGTCATATAGGGAAGGTCTGCATCATCTTAATGCATAATGGACCTTTTTTTTCAGGTCATGACTAAGAGAGCATTCAAAATCCTTTGTATTTATGGCTTTACTATGTTCTTATTAGGAAATATGAAGCAAAAAGCCTTCCAGAGGATGAATTGACTTAATACTTTATGATACTGGCTGTCCATTTAGATGTGGAATTAAAAGGCTTGGCTCCCAGCTGCAAGCAGTCGGCTTTTAAAATGGATTTCTTCTCATAACTGCAAATTATATTGTCATAAATAACATGGCTAAGGTCAGGATGATAGCGAGCGCTTCTGTAAAAAACTGCAGGTATGAAGTAAATCAGTTGAGCAATAAGCTTAGAGAGTTCACTTGTGATGGCCACCATGCAGCTTTGCATGAATATAATTGGATACCTAGGAGTCAGCTGGTAGCCAAACAGCTGATGAGTGATTCACTCGTGTCCTTCTAACTTCAGTCATTTATTGCAAGAAGAACTTCAGCTCCCTGCCTGAACTATTTCCCCAACGCAACGTGAGTCGTTTATCGCACACAATGTGCGTTTGCTTTTATAGTGTAGATATATTTATAGTATATGATTCTTAAAACTACTGTACACATGTGAGAAATGACAGCATCAGTGGCTGAGAGACAGGCTGATAAGACTGATCATGTAGACGTAGTAAAAACTTGATCTGCTCAATAAATCTGTATTGATTTACTGAAGATTTGTAAAATACAGTATTGTTTTTATTATTCAAAGACTCAAGGAGTCCTTAAAAAGTAGGGGTCAGTTTGTTATGGATGAGTTTGAGTGTAAGAAACAGCAGTTTATTGATATTGTTAATCAGAGGACAGGTGCTGTCGCTCAAAAAAACCCGTAAATATTTAATGTCAAATCAAAGAAGGGTGTCCTGACCTGATGACGTCTCAGCTGAGGCAAGGGCACCTTAATTTGGCATTAACCTCCTGAGACCTGAACTCTTTCATGGCATGCATTTTCAGTTTTTCTTTGCTATTTAGACTGATTGGGACCCGATGAATGTAAAAACAAAGAATGACCTGATTTTTTTGTTTTACTTTATTTTTGTTTCGGAGATAAAAGAGATCCACATAAGAGGACAGTTGCTTTAAATTGTGATAGAACAGTGGCAGTATAATGTCCTCGTAAGTTCATATCAGGCCCTTGTAGAGCAAAATTTAGTATTTTGGTCTAGACAACCCAAAATGTGATGTCCACATATGTGGACGCCAGACCTAGGATGATATCTCTATCTATAAAGGCTTTTTATCCTTTTCATGTTCTACTTCCTTATTTATAATGGCCTTTTAGACTTTTGATTGGTCCCTTTCCCTGTGGCTGGATTACATCAACAGAAGATGTGGTAAAAGCAGAGTCTCTCAACAGGAACCTTATGCAAAAGCAGACTATCATTGCTTCTTCTGCTCTTAGATCGCCTGTCTCGGTTTGTATGGCCTTTTGGTTGATTTGTCTGTTGGAACATTTGAAGAAACTGTTACTTCCTTCCTGAAGAATTGCTACATATTTGATTTTTACATGGTCTTTCACTGCCAGTACCTATGTTGCTTCAGTATTCTGCAGTAAATACAGTACCTTTCTGAAAGGATGGTACTGTGCAACAGTCTCAAGCAAGCTTTCTCGTTTATTTTGATTTTGCTTCCAAAGATTGACATTTTCTTGTAATTTTGTAAAGGGTTTTTAACCAGTAGGGTTTCAAAGTTGTTGTTTTTTTTTGGACTTCTTGCTTTTTACTTCCAGTCAAGTCCTTGTACATGACCATTTTTAAAATAATGTTTGATTTTTGCTTTTGCTTCTTTAGCCACTTGACAAAACAGTAGCCTATGAGTCATTCAAGTGTAAAAAAGAAGCCTAACTCAAAGGATGAATCAGTGTTGTGTCTACAAATAACAGAAAACTTCAGCGCTTTGCTATTAGGAGCCCAAAATTCGTTGCCATTTCTTTAGTTTAATCTATAAGAAATGTCACGGGTAATACAGTTTGTCCGACATAGAAATTGTACTTTAGCACTCTCAAAGAGTTATGAGCTTTAGTGTGCAGTGTGTCCTTAACAATATTGAGGAAGTAGAAAGAAGAAGTGGCAGGCCTCAAAAACTACACTGAAAATCAGAGGCCTTATGGAGTGATGGATCCAATGTCACGTTATTGGTTTAAATCATCATTAATGTGTACATAAGAGGTCAGGAGAGAGGCACAGTAGTTATTTACAGCCATCTGTGAAACACGGTGGAGGCTCAGTCATGGTTTGGGCTCCGAGTCACTCGGTGGTGATGGAAATCTTGTCAAAATTGATGCAATACTGAACGCAGAAAAATACCATCAGATTTTGATCCAGCATGCAGTACGACCTGGAAAGCATATTACTGACAACTCCCTCATTTTTATACATTGTAATGATCCCAAACATACTATCAGTGCAGTAAAAGCATACCCGTACAGAAGCCTGGAGAACTATTCCTGAAATGACAAGAAAGAGACAGAGTTCAGGATCTGTTGACGAATAAAAGCGTTCAAACCAAATATTGACTATTAGACTCATTAGAATTTTTATAAGGCATTTCTGTTTGTTTGAATATTTCAATGAATCTCTGCCACTATATCCAAAAGAAAAAAAATGCTAGGTGTTTCAGGTATTTTATTTTCAGACATGTTTAATACAAAAGACTTTCTTTGTGCTTGTGCATTGTAACTGCAGTGTAGCATAACAGTGCTTTGACCTAAATATGACCATACCCACCACGCTCATAGTGACAATTTTAATATCCTTAGCATTCTTAGTTTAGCATGATAGCATGGCAAATGTAATCAAGGAAACCAATTTGTCCAACAAGTGTTGGACAAATTGAAATATTGAAAGTGCTGAATGAAAAGTTTAAGGGCTGCGTGAGTTAAAATGTATATTTGTTTAATAATGTCTAATATTAATACATTATTATTATTATTATTATTAATAGTGTCTGTTGACCACATATTAACCTTTTATGTGGAATCAAAACATCTGTGTGCTTAAATAATGTGAAAGGGTTTATGGCCCTGAAAATGACACAAGTGTTTTCCAGCATTTATTGACACATTGTTTCCCAGAGTGAGTGTTTTAAACATGTAGTCGCTCCAGTAAGACGAAGAGTCAAATTTAATTATTTCTCATTTTCTTTAAAATGGTTATGGGTTCAAATTAATCACGTTAGATAGAAAAACAGTTATCATAACTGCAGCAGGCTTTTCTCTGTCTTGTCAATTACATTTAAGCTTACTCTAAAGCTTACTGTGCTTTATCATTCAGGCCTTGTGGAGCTGACCAGGGAGAGCAGACTGAGCTTTCGAAAAGGGAAACAGCTTCCCAGTTTCTCGATGTTACAGGAAATATCTCTGAAATATGACTGCTGAAATATCTCTTGCGGATTCATCAGAGCGTTAAACTTTGAGGTCACTTCGAGGAATTACTTGTGTGCAGACAGTGTTCCCTTATATGGCTTGTCTCTATCCATCTGTGTCTTCTAGGAAACAAGTGAAGTCACAAAAGATGGACCTCTTCTCCTCCCCCAGGGCTGAGGTTGGTGTAATTACTATTTTTTGTGCTGTTGCAACCCACGGAGTAACGACCTTTGTAGTCAAACAACCACGCAGAATGCACCGCATCACCCCGAGAAGCACAATGTGATCCTATAAGCACCATCGGCATGACTGCTTTTCATGGCACACACACACACACAAACACACACGACTTTACACAGCCGTGGCCACAGAAACCAGTATTTGGTGAAAGTCACAAACTAAGTGCATAAATAAACCCTACAAAACAGATCCCATACATAAGTGTGCCATCTGATGTGACAAATCAATAATTACGGCGTCTTTTGTCAAATGTTGTGCTGCGCCTTTTGTCCTTCCATTCTCCCTTGACGCTGTTGACCTCATCAATAGTTCCTGCTTCGCTTCACTTCCTTTTTTAATTTTTGTATCCGTTTCTCTTTTCGTATTAAACTCCCGTTCCCACACTCTCTTCTCCTCCCTTCCACACCTCTCCCCTTAAGCATCCCTTAACTTTTGTCCTTTTCCTCGCCCCTCCCTTTGTCTTTCTCTTTCCAAGGTTGCAACCATCTCTCGTCCCTCTCTCCCCCCTCCTCTCTTTCACATCCTCTCATTTCCATTCTATTCACACCTTCCTCCCTGATGCTGATGATGGAAAGAGAAACCCATTTATATTCTAAAGTCGTTTTTCTAGGAGCTGTGTGATTTGGAGGTTGTGGAGCGCTTGTGGTTCAGGTGCTGGTGTGCAGATTTGGGCATGAGGTCAGGTCAGAGGATGAAGCAGTTATGACCTGCCAATTAAACTCTCCATGAGGGTAAAAAAAGAGCTTTTATTCTTTATACGGTCAGCACAATCTTGGACTGAATTTTGAACGCACATGCAGGCTTCTACGCTAAGAGAGCTCATATTGGTTTGACTCATTCCCTTTAACCAAGATCACCAGATCCCAAATCTAATCTTACTCCTACTGCTGTGTTTTTTTTAATAATATTTATCCCTCTAAACCATTAAAACCTTCAAAAAGTGACGAGAGGCCTCACTTTCAAGACTTACAATTCAGAATGATCCTCACAAAAATGTAGCGGGACCCAGATATGCCAATGCTTAGCAGCGAGTCTAAATGGCTATTTTAAAAAAATCAGTTAATCAGTTGAGCCTTAATATTGTTTGCGTGGGAATAGAAATGTTGATAGTACAGTCAGACTGATGGAGGACAGCCCTTCTGTCATCTGGTTGCATTACAGTGTGTAAAAATATCTCATCTCTTGTATGTGTATTGTTGGTTTGTGCAAATTTGCACAGCAGAAATGTTATTCTCATGAGGTAATTTTTGTTTGTCATCTAATCCTAAAAGTTACTTAATTTACCAGCATGTTAAAGGAGACCAGAACCAATAGTTATAATACCTCTAAATAACAAAATTCTACTATTAGTAAAAATGCACAAGTACTCCTTTATTAGTGCAGTTTGAAGCCTACCACAGGCAGTAGATTTTGTCAAAAAATGTATACTCAAATACTAACCAGTACTAAAATTGATTAATGGATTAGGTAGTGATTTGCAACAGTATTGACAAAATTCCATCTTTGCGTCCTACAGCTAGCATACAACTTCACACAGCATGCTGCAGACAGGCAGGTACACAGCCCCTCCCCTCACTACCAGCTGAACACGTGAACAGCTGCAGATCAAACTTGGAGAAGTATCTAAAATTATGTCAACCTAGTTTTTATGAGGAATTTCACAAAGTCATTAAAACACTGGTTTCAACAACATTAAAGTTTTAAAGAGTTATTATAAATGTGAACCTGACTGCACACGTTAATGTTAGCCATGTTAGTGGCTAGTGACTGATTAATAAGTGACAATGTTTAGATTAGAGCTAGAAAGCAAATGGTATCAGTCCTTCCCGTCTATAACCTCAGTGTTAGTATAACAGGATAATACAATTATTTGTGTCTAAAACATGCTATAGTTTTCTTACAGTCACAAATTGAAGCTGGGAAAAGTCTATCAGAAGCTATACAGAAACAGCAGCATCTTAACAACTGATCAGGAACAAAAATATGGAGTCAAGTCACTAGGAGCAGGAAAACAGGAAATAAAAGGGGGTGTGGCTGAATACGTTTGCATTATCGCAGTATCTCATCAGTATTGTTTACATTTTTTATCAGCCTCATAATTTTTCCCTTTTTGCTCCACACTATTGAATGGATCTTGAGAGACTCACATATTTTCCTCGATTTTGGTATCGGGTTTGAAAATAGTGACAACCCCAGTTTGCACAGAAGCATCAATCTCCTGCATTTTTTACTTCTGAGGGGCAAACAATCGGGAAAAAAAGTTGCCTTAAAGGGAAATGAGCTTTAAAGCCGTTTGTTTCAGAACTGTTGAACTGTTAATAAGGTTGATTTACTTTAGTAGCGTCCAAGAAAAACAATGGAAATAAGCATTTTCAGAAAATGGTGGCCACACACTGAAGTGGAGCTTCATGAAAAGATAGTAATAAGACTATAACACATCAGTTACATCAGTTTGTAGCCCTGCGATAGACTGGTGAGCTCTCCAGGGTGTACCCCACCTCTCACCCTATGGGATAGGCTCCAGCCCCCCCACTGTGACCTTGATAAGTACAAGCAGAAGAGAATGGATGGATGGAAGAGTTGTTGTCCAGAATACACATTACACATGTAAAACGCATGTATATATCTGTTTTTTTAAACTTTGTGTTTTGGACATGTATGCCAAGTAGTGCATTTTTAAGGAGATTATACTGCGATATTGAAGTATATTTTTATTGAAGTACCTCCAACTTTCAGCACAAAATAAATGTCAGTATAATGTAATAATGTAGGAAATCAAATGGTGATGTTGCAAGTTACTTAAAAAGTCAAAAAATAATGTTTAAAAAATTTTTTTTTTTCAGCAAATATTGTTAAAGGCTTTTTTCTTCAAATCTGTTTCATCTCATACTCAGCAGCAGCATTTACAGCGAAATGAAAGATAATCAAAAACATTATGGCTTCATTTCTGTGTTTGTTCACATTTCATTTACTGTCTAATTTACAGAGCAGATTTTTTTCTAAAATCATCGCCATGGAATGACCGTTTCCTTTTCGTTTCCTTTTTCCATCTTGCGTCAGTATTTTGTGAAAATCACTGGTCACCTGTCCAGAGTGTACCACACCTATAGGACTGGATAAGCAGTTAAGAAAACAGATCATGTGCGGCTTTATTTATTTATTTTTACCTGTGTCCACCTGAAGCGTCTCCCTTTGGCTATATCGCACCATTGTTCCATTAATTTCTCTGAAGCTGTTGAAGCAAGTTAAAGTTGTTTAGGGATAGATTGAAATATTCACAGCTGACACAATAGCAGCACTGACTAATAGCTGAATCGATCCACTGTCAGCTAATTTGATGAAGCAATCATTTGTAATACTTTGTAGAGAGAGACACCTTTGCTCGGTTGTGTAAGCGGCTATGTCTGCACAGTATGGAGTCTGTAATGTGAGTACATGTCCTTGAACTCTGTGTGCTATATCGCCTTTCAAAAGCATTTAACTTTACTAACCTTGCTCGACACAGAAAAAAGGATGCAGGCACACACATTGCATTTCTCTCTGCACACTCCAGTGGTCTTTTATTTCCAAACTAAAAGAAGCAGCTCCATTTTACTCTCTCCTCTTCTCTCTCTCTCCCCTCTCTCCCACACAAAAGTAAAACACTGGTGTACTCTACTCATGAAGCTGCCAGCCTACTCAACATTTATTTTAGCTTTCTCTCCTTTTCTAGCTGAAAAGCTTATCCTTCCTCTGTGCGTTAGTGTGTGTTGGTGTGTGTCCTGCTGTGTGTTTCCCAGCTCACCAAAGTGGCTGTCCAAACAATGATCAATGGCCAGCCTGAGCCTGATGGATAAGAGCAGAGCGCAGCATTTGTCACAGCAGAGCCGGTACAAGTGTTAGCGTTTACGCTGCAGCACTTCTTTCCACTCCACTTAGTATTAGCTCAGGCTTAGCCCCCAAACACTGCTATGAGTAATTGTCAGCTGTAGTACTATGAGCTTCAGACAAGGTCAACGGGACAGGCTGCTCGTGGTTAGGAGGACTTTAACGAGGCAGACGCTGGTGGCATGATTTGGCTGATCTGAAAATTGAGTTAGGGAAAGAAATAAAGATAGATAAACGATATAAAAAAGGCAAAAAGATATATTAAAGAATCACAAAGGGTGGGAAAAATATCAATAAAACTAAAAAATGAATAATCAAAGAGGTACTTATCGAGGGATAAGGCGGTTAAGGCAGAAATTACAATTTTAGATGAAAAACTGATTAGGAAGTGTTAGTGCTTATCTTCACTGGCAAAAATGTGACCATGTAACATAAATGTGTTAAAGTAACCAAGAATTTATGAGACTTGATTCCAGACACTAGAAAATATCAAAGCGCCATCGTGTCATAGAGCAGGTTTTATCAGTGTGCCTGTGCACAAATGTTTATGTACAGATACAGTATGTGTCAGCAACGTTGTGTTTCTTTCTGTTAGATGTAGGCCATCTTAGATACTGTAAACAATACGTTGAACAGTTACTTGACTGTGAGCCACATGTTAACGGTGAGTCACAGTATGAAAATCAAAGTTCTAGTAGTTCAGAAACCATTACCTCGCTCATTGTCACCATCACTCGCATCAATCTAGTTTTGCATCAGTGGAAATCTGTTGAAAGTCGAAAAACAATCTACGCTTTGAGATTCAAGGTCTTGCTCTCTATTATCTTGTCTTTAACTTATGAATGTGTTGATTATTTGAGAAACAGGGAAAAAAATGACTAAAAACGGAGTTTGTGCATTACTAACAAGCTTAAAGGTCAATTTTTGGTGTGACCTCCTTTATTCTTTAATGCAGCCTGAACTCTTCTCAGCAAATGTTTTTATAATTTGTCCAAATAGGCTTCGAGAATAGTTCTCCAGAACATTTCAAATATGGATTTATCACTCCATACGAGTGTTGTCTCGCTCCTT